AGCACGTTTTACGTGCTTACGAAAAAATGGAAGAGGGAGGGAGGGAAAGCTGTCAAATTTTTTCAACCTAACATTTATGTAGAAGAAATTTTCAATAGTCCAAAACGTGCTTAGTTGGTGTAGTGGCAGTGAGCTCAGCATTCCTACCGGCCGGCCCAGAGTTCGGTCCCCTACGAGAACAGAGTAATTTTTCGTTCGTGTCGGTGCTTTTTCGTCCAATTTTTTTGCATCACAACATAAAATGCCAGATTTCCAGAGCGCACCAGACGAAAAAATTGACAAAATTCTTAGGAATAAATAAATACGGATCGCAAATTCACATATGACTACTATTCACAGAAGCTCTATTCACAGAAGCTCTCAGACGAGCACCTATCGTATATTTCTGTCACTTTATAATAAGTAGCAACAGTCGTCGTTTTTGGATTAACGTTCACCAATAATGTCTAACTCATTAGGTTTTTCTGGAAATCTTCATTAATTCAAGTGATCATGTGGAGAGACGGCGACAGCGTCACTCGTCCTAGTGAAAGCCTAGAATTGGCTTACCGTTTGCGCATGTTTTACCCCATGTCTAGGGCTCAGGGAAAGCTCGAACGAAATTCTGAGTTTAGCCTTGATTGTGAGGATTGCGAGCAGAATTTAAAACTGTCTTATGAAATATTTCTTCATGACCACTTAAATTAAAAGCATCTTCTTCGTAGATTACCAGTTATTCAAGATTCGCAAAGTGAAAATGAGTGAGCTGAAGGAAAGACGAGCTAGCGAAATACCAGGATTCCGATGGATTCTATGTAATACCTGTGGTAAGACTGCGGTTGGCGGTGCCATACTGTTTGTCAGTGGATGTGGTCACGTACATTGTAGTGCATGTTTGAGGAATCTGGCAAGTCGAACTCGTTAGTAATTGTTCTTTTCGTGTGAAATTGATAGCGATTGAAATGCACTGTTTTCGAGTTTTGCATTCGCATACAGCACAGCGATATGAGAGTGATGTCGAAAATAACTGTGTTGATGACGTTACGAAACGACGGCGCATTCTGTTTCGGAATTCGGTTTTCAAATTATTTCGTATTCTCAATACAGTGAATATTTCGATGACGATTAGCGGAACCCAGAAGCCACTTACAAGTTGAAATCAACCCATCACTTTGAATCACAGATGCAAATTCATGCTGGAATTTCAGCAGTGAAATTGAGTAATCCCCTCGCTTGTAGAATATTCGCAGCTGTTCTGCCACATTCCATCCGTATGTGAAATCAGCCGATAAAATTCAATCGGTGAAGCTCTCCATCAGTCGAATTCTCCATTGAAAATCTGATTAATCAATTGAATTCACTCTAG